CTTGTGGAATAAATGTATTACAAAAAAAAAAAGGTTGAGTAGAGAGGGATGAAAGAGCAGGAACTTGGGAGGAGCAAAAGGAGACAGGAAGCCAGCGGTAGTAGGAACCACATTGGAGCCATGAAACAGCTCTGTGCAGGTTCCTCTGAAGGCCTCTGGGAATACTGAAAGATGAGACACCAGCCACAGAGAAGTATCACATTTCCAAATATGCAGGACAAAGAGATTCGAGTCTAGACACATGGGGGAGAAAAGGATTTTATTATATGGAGACAGACAGAAATTGCTTTAACTGCAAAGACATTACTATTCTTGCAAAGAAGAACACTGGGAATCTGACAAACCTGAAGCTACACTCTGTGGGTCATTCGAGACTTACCAGGAAAACAGTACTAACACAGAGAAGGTGCTCACCAGACCCTATACTCCCATCTGTTCTTACTCAAGGAAAGCACGATCCCATAACCCCTCTGCCTCTCTTTGCTACAGAGCTTCCTTTGAGCAGACTCCCAACACCCCGCACTCCTCCAGGGTGGGAGATGTGGCCACTCCTGCAGTGGTCTATAGTTTCTGGAAAAAAGATCTTAAATGGGGGCGGCAAGGGGGAAGGAAAAGACAACTGTGGAGACAGTTGAAGATCTAGGGTGCAGTACGAGTCAGACCTAACTCTAAGCAGAAGTACGGGGCTGACTGTGCCCAAATGGGTTGCCTAAAGAGACTATGGGATGAGGGAAGAAGCTCACTGGCAACCTCTCTGAGAAAAGTGACAGCCACTTCTGGCCCTGGAGGTCCCATCCTGTGAAGGGCAGAAACCCAGGGAATAAGGCAGAGCCAAGAAAGAATGTGGCCAAGAGTGAGATAAACCTTTCCTCAGGGTCTCCTTTTAGGATAGGAACCCATGATAATTTCCTCACCAAACCAGCTTGCAACTATGGTTAAAAAACCCCCATTGTTAGTAGTTTATAGAAGGCTATTGTAAAGTGTTTGGGCACTTCAAAACTTTATGTTATAGCTACCTTAGATATATCTGTGTAGGATTTAAAGGCAAATTAAATAAAGAGACTCATTTAGGTAAGAACATAGTCTTTCAGAGCCATTAGGAAATACAAAATGGCTACAGCAGATGGGCTGCAGTACATTTAATAGAACTAAAATTGCACATTTAATAGAACTAAAATCTCTATCAGCCTGAGGAGAAAATTTATGGATTAGTGTAAAAAAGCACAGCATAGAAACTCACTTTCTAACGGACTAGAAAAGGTTGGGGAACACGGGGCACTTCTAGTCAGGATGGCACAGTGAGTTGACACTTCAGCTCCAAATACATTGAGTAATAAACAAAAATAAAAACCTAAAAACATACCTGCTAAAAATAAGATAAACATCTCTGTGGACCAGAAAGGAAACACAAGTGCACAATGGTCGCTACAGTTGAAGCTGTGGGCATGTTGGGCTTCCGGCCATGACTGAAATTTTAGCCCCAGAGGAAAATGAGGGCCTAAAAGTGCTCCATGAAAGGAGGGACTAGCACCAGCTCAGGGCTTGATGCCAGAGGCTGGGTGGGACTCACAGACACACACACACAGACACAGATAGACACAGAGAAAGATACAACTCTGTGACTAAGAACCTTGTCAAGCCACCTGGTAGCCTGTGACTACATTGGTGATAACTGTGCTGCGACATGAAACAGGAGCCCAAAAACTT